TATATATATATATATATATATATATATATATATATATATATATATATATATATATATATATATATATATAACTTAAATTTCTTTTTTTTATATTTTTTTGACTTATTCTATTTTAGTAGACACGTCGAACTAAGATTGGTCTCCCTTTTATAGTGAGTGCCTAGGGGTTTGTTATGCTGGTATGATAATAAATACATATGAATCAATTATAACCATTGTTCATTGATGCAGAGCCACTATATTACTCCAATTGAAACCGCCATCAACTAGTGTTGGATCATTACACCCATTCACAATATTGTTTGCGCGATAATGGGTGCGTATCATAATTATTTTTCAATTGGCACTTGTAAGGTATAGTTACATCAAGCTGAGGTAACGACGGAAGATTATTTAAATGGCTTCCACATGTCGGCTAAGTGGCTTAGCCACATGGAAATGAGGTGTCAAACACAAAGTAGTAGTATCGACACATTATGTTTATGGATGAGTGACATCATTTTCACTATAATACATGCCATTATATATAATGAAATGCTTGACTTGGTATGATACATGTCAATACTTTGATTAGATATAGCAATACGGTGGGATGATATAGTCAAGTATGATGATGAAATACAAGAGATCGATAAGGCTAAGTGAGGTAGGGCGATACCTTTGGGTGTGATGACCTAGAGGATTAGGCATAGTGGCACACAAAGAATTGATAGGTCAGGTGTGGTAACTTTTAGACATTAAGTCAGAGGTTTGGTCAATATGTCACATATCAAACTTCATTTTATAGGTTCAAGCATCGTGCTAAAAAAAATCAAATATTATGCTTCAATATCAAATATCTGAGAAAGTCAATATATCGTTAGAACGAGTAATATATCGAAGAAAGAATAACATGTCAGAGGTTCAACCAAAATATCAAAAAATTGAATAACATACCGAGAGAGAGAACAATATATCAAAAGTTTTAAAAATATATCGAGTGATTGATTTGATAATGTCCTAATTAAGATTATTTTAAATCAATTTAAGTTAGTATTACATCAAAACAAAGTCAACTTATACAAAAAAAAATTATTAGGCTTGAATCAAAATTGAATTAGGCCTAAACTATTTGATGGCTAAATCGATAGCCTAAACTATCATTAGTGGAAGAACACGATATTTCTAACTGCGGGCTTGAACCAAAATCTATTTTCCTAACTAACTCTATTTAGTGGAAGAACACGATATTTTTGACCGTTAAAGCCCCCACGTCCTCCGCACTCTCCTCGATCGACACGGGTTGACTCGTTCAACGCCATGCAGTCACAAACAAAACTTGGAACATTATGTCTATCCCTCGTAGCACATCAAATCTCAGCACGTACTCCAACCACAGCCGTTTCAATGAATCACGAACTCTCCCCACTCTCCCTCGATTCCTCATGCTCAATCCAGTCCAACTAACTTTGACCACCCGTTACCCTCTCTCTCACTCTCGTTTTAAGGCGCACTCGCCTGCTTCTTTCCTGCTATCACGAGCTCCCAAGTCCAACAAACGAGTAGTCGATTGCTTTCGCTCTTCAAACCTCATCAATGGCGACTCCGATTCAGACAAAGTTCTTCCCCAACCTCTTGTTCTTCCTTTCGGTCGCGCTTCTGCTTACCTCCGCCGTATCAGCTTACGAATTCCGCGTCGGAGGACCCCGAGGTTGGACGAAGCCCACTGGAGATGAGTTGGAGAACTACAACCACTGGGCCACAAAGAATCGCTTCCATGTTGGAGATTCCTTGTGTAAGTTGATCACTATATATATAATAGTAGAACTCACCTCACTGATACGAAGAGCACTCAGTTATTAAATCTTAGTAACATAAGATTCTCCTCTCATCGATCCCTATGCTCCATAAATGTAGTAGGATCGCTTCACTGACAGGAACGCCTTCGATCATATGTTTGTGGTCATGTTGATTTGATTACTTGAGCTTTTAGATTTCAAGTATGAGAACGACTCGGTGCTGGTGGTGGACAAGAACGCGTACAAGGAATGCAACACGACGGATCCGCAACTCAAGTTCGTCGACGGCAACACCACGTTCAGGTTCGACCGCCACGGCTACTTCTACTTCATCAGCGGCAAGCCGGGCCACTGCGAGGCCGGGGAGCGGCTGATCATTCGCGTGATGGTGCACTCGGAGGTGATGCCAGGAGCAGCTCCATCATCTCAGCCGGGCGGCGGTTCGGCTAACACGGAGTCTGGTGCTGCCTTGAAGACCACTACTGCTGCTTCTGTGTTGATGGCAGCTCTTGGATCTCTCTTCGCTATTTCCCTGTTCTCCTAGATTAAGCTTTAGGGACGCTAGAATTGGACACTTCTGTTTTATGATTTGGATAGCTTAGTCATTTATTTGGTTGTTTCATTACAGTTTAAGGTTGAATTAATTCGTTATATGTTATTAATTTCCAAGTTTAAATCATGCATGAAAAGATTTATGGCAAAACAGAGGAGAAAACTAGTCAACCTAACTACCATCGAAACAGAAGTTGCTTTATATTGATCACATGGCAAGAGAAGAACAGCTACTCCGAGCTCACATCTAATGAAGGTGTGAGACCAAATCCATAGGATTTTCTTCTGAGTTTATATGTTATTACTCTCGCTTCTGATCATAATATATCTTAACGTTACTTTTCTATTACGAATAATTGTAACATCTAAAATAAAATAATTAGAGACATGCCATGTAAGTTGGATTGCCCTCTAATCAGCTACCCTTCAAAGCTCAGCCACGAAACCAACAGCTTTTACTGTTAGATTTTGTCCGCCAACTACCCACTACATGTAAAAGGGAATAACTTTTCTCCGTTGGTCGAGAGAGTTTCGTAGTTCCAGTGCCCATGAGCTCCCCCCTTATGATAATGTGAGATCAATTATCATACTTTGAGTTATCCTCGTTAAAGCATGACTTTCTTATAAACTCTCTTATATATATTTTAAAGAATTTACACTCTTTTTATTCACCCTCTCCTGAAAGCACCCTCTCTAGACACCTTAAAAAGAAACTCAGAACACAAAGTAATTTTCACATATTGTATTATAGTTTTAAATCATTGTCACTTAGTTATAGTATTCTCGTATAGGTTTACAATATATTTGTGGAGGTGCTAAATACATCATAATCTTATTAAAAATAAGATAATTATATTTGTTCAGAATTAATCTAATGCAAAAGATGAGAATATTTTTACCTTATCCTATTAGGAGCATTTTGGAATATGTGAAAAGTGAGGATATTGAAGAAAAAGCCTAAAGTGAGAGGCCTTTCAGAATTCATCTATTTTATTTGGATATTATTATTTGTAACCTCTTTTTTACTATTTATATTTTTTATTTTAAATTTTTTAATATTATTTGGCAGGGGGTTGTGGAAAAAAAGATTAAATTAGTAATATCTAGATTATAAATAATAAAATATTATTTTATTATTTTTAAAGGATGGTCAATAGGGAATATTAACCTTTTTTTTATTTTTGTGTTGTACTAAACTTGCGATTGGACGGTTTGATCCACCGAGCCAAGACTTGGTTAGGTGGTCGCATGCATTTCGAAGATCTGAATCCTATGATTGCTGACACGGTCCGACAGTCAAAAGCGAGCTGATTCTATATTAGCTTCTCCCTACTATATCTACAACTTAATGGCATCTTCGTGGTCAGAGAAGCCTCACGGCGACGTCGGCATTGACTCGGTAAATATAGCACTCTTCTTTCCCTTTTGTTTTCTGACTCAAATCCTCACGCATTAATCCTCTATAAACAGCCAATACTTTTTCTCATATCTCATCGCTCTTCCTCCCCCCTTCTTACCGCCACCAATCTATTGTGCTGTGGTTTCTAGTTGATGATGGATACCTTCTTCCTGTCTCATGGCTCGCCGACGCTGTCCATCGACGAGCGGCTGCAGGCGAGGCACTTCATGCAGTCATGGAGGGATCAGGTTCTGCCGGAGGTGCCCAAGGCCATCCTCATGGTCTCCGGCCACTGGGATGTGTCGGAGCCCACCGTCAACGTGATCAACGGCCCCAACGACACCATCTACGACTTCTATGGCTTCCCCAAGTCCATGTACCAGGTCATCATCATCCCCTCCCTCTACTCTTCTTATGCTCCTCTTTTCTCTCTTTCCTTCTTTCTCTGTGAAAACTAGATTTTTTTTTCTTGTTTCCTCCAACAACAACAAAAAAAATCTCCTCTTTTTCACGGATTGGAGTTTGCCGGGTTGCATAAAATCTTGTGATCCCTTGATTTTAGAGGACTTGTAATATTTGTCATACCTAAAAATCCTAGTTGAATCTCAAGAAGACATGCAATGCATCAAGTTTGTCCATGAAAATTGTGGATCTTCTATCATTGAAAGTCTGATTAGTGAATACCATTGACGATCACAAGTGTTGGGTGGGCAATTAACTAATGATTAGGTGGTGGGAGTTGGTAGACCTATTGATAAATAGTAATTAAATGGGAGTTAATTAAGTGGGAGTTAATTAAGTGGGAGTTAATTAAAAAGTCTCCCTAATAACTAATAATTAAATAGTAAAATAACTCCCAACACTTTGTGTGTCTCATCAATCCTTTTATTTTTAAAGGTTTGTCAATAGTACCACTTAAAAAAATTATTAGGGAGACTTTTTAATTATAATAATATTTGATGACACACACAAATGTTGGGTGGACAATTGACTAATGATTAGGTGGTGAGAGTTGGTAGACCTAAAACACATAGGGCTTACCAATTCAATGACATCTTATTTTGAGATTAACATAGCTTTATGCATAGCTCGGGGAGCGAGTTTGTTCGACCGAGATGCAAGCCTCGGACCCTTCCCTTCGTCTAGCATCGATCATTTGATCAGTTGATCATTGGTGCAGTCAGTAAGCTTGCTAGGGGTTTTGTCCGTTTCGGAATATGTGAACTCTACAAAGCATATCTAAGAGTAACGGATTTTGTCCGTTTTAAAATATGTGAAATCTACAAAACATATCTAACAGTAAGGGATTTTGTTCGTTTCAGAATATGTGAACTCTAAAAAGCATATCTAAGAGTAAGGGAGACTCGAAGAGGATCTTGATTGTTTATCTCGGGGCATGGTTAAGTGCATAGAAGATGAGTAACGCAGCATTTAATGTCCTCCGGAAGGAGAGCAAGTGAAAACTAAGAAGCTTGGAATTGTGACAGCTTAAGTATCCCGCACCCGGGACTCCTGCTTTGGCGAAGAGGGTGAAAGAGCTGCTGCAAGAGGCGGGCTTCGGCCACGTCAAGGAAGACAAGAACCGCGGGCTGGATCACGGTGCCTGGGTGCCGCTCATGCTCATGTATCCGGCGGCAGACATCCCGGTGTGCCAACTCTCCATCGACTCGGCCAAAGATGCTGCATACCACTACAGGATGGGGAAGGCGTTAACGCCCCTCAAGGAGGAAGGCGTCCTCCTCATCGGCTCCGGCAGCGCCACGCACAACCTGAGGGCTATCGGACGAGATGGTGCACCTCCGCCCAGCTGGGCCGTCGACTTCGATAACTGGCTCACAGATGCTCTTCTTAATGGAAGGTATGACATGTATATACGTGCTTGTTGGCGTTTCGATCACTGCACTGAGCTGACTCCTTGATGCTGTTTGGTAGGTATGAAGACGTGAACAACTACTTGGTGAAGGCGCCCAACGCGAAGATGGCACAGCCCTGGCCGGACCACTTCTACCCTCTGCATGTGGCGCTTGGGGCTGCCGGCGAGAATGCGAAGGCCGAACAGATCCATCAGAGCTGGAGCAACGGCACACTTTCTTATTCCTCTTATCGGTTCAAGGCTGCTGAATGATGTGCACCGAAGTCCCGAATAAATATGAAATGCATATTTTCAAAGAAATTATCTCGTTCTAGATGTGGCTAATTTCACCACTGTTGATCTTAATTCGAGGCTTATCTACTGCTTGTTTGTTGAACATTATCTGCAACAACTAATAAATAAGAAGTCCTCTACGGCTTTACATTGGCTCACCAATCAGATTGGGGGTCAATATAAGAAGCAGCATATGCAAAAGTTCTAAACATAATATTCCTAGGCTTATCCTAAATTTCATTGAACTTGGCATCATTCCTACCATTCCATGACATCCAAAATCCAGTGGCCAGATAAACCTTCAGGACCAGAGCATCTTTTCTCTCTGCAAGTGCTCACCTTCGTCGATTGAAGAAAAGATGGGCAATACTACAATTGAAGAAAAGATGGCTGAGGGATTCAATTTTAGATTTGTAAAGCCAACATTGGAAGGGTGGCGACAAATTAATAGTGGCTTAGAGGTAGAAAGTTTGTTCTGCAAAGTTTCCTAAAGAAAAAAAACGACAACTTAGTTGCAGTAAAGAGTTTCAAAAGCTGTCTAAGACAATGATAGGGCTATTAATTAACGTAAAAACTTTGATAATATATAGTAAGATCTTGAATTTCAATTTTGTATTCATTATTTTTCTATTAGAAAAAAAAAAAACCCTACTAGACAGAACAAGAGGACGCAGCAGTTCTTTATTAATTTTCACATCAACCTCGATCGAATGTTCCTTTCAATTGGTGAAATGCTCACTATGTTCCACTTTCATTAACCTTGACATAAATTATTAGTTAGTTAAGCTTTTTATATCCATATTCAAAATATAATATTAGTAATAATTATGTTAATAATATTATATACTACGCCAAACATATTATACCACTCAAAGAAAAGCCCTCTGTTCTTTTATCAAGATTCACCAATAAGGCAATCTTAATTTACAAAAGGTGGTGTTGAAGTTTCATACGCTACTACGTATGCAA